AACGTTTCTTTACGGGCCTACTTATAGTAACCATAATTGACACCTCTCATGTTGTGCTGTTATCTTACCGCTGCATGTAAAACCTTATTCTACGCCCTTGTCGGCAACGCGTCTACCTATTAAGAAGTATCAGAATGTGGTTGTCTAAAAACCCGCTTAGAAAACAATGGTCAAGTTCAATTCGCTTACAGTAGTAATTGTCATCAGCACATATAACTTCTTTTGTTCACACGTCAATCTAAAACTATCTATCTTTGTGAATCAAGTGACAACGTTTATAAGCACAGCTTTGTTCTTACGACCAGACCGGCTACTGCTGTACATGTAACATATACGATTTAGCAATACCAGAAACCCACTCAGATAACTTATTAATGCTAATATTTTTACAATAAAAGAATTGAAATTATCATTTTAGTCAGTGTAACACGCAGAGTACAGAGAATTTAGTATACTTAAACCATGTCCTCGGAAACACGCATGCTTACGTGTACGATAGGCACAATGCCCTCCGATTAGTACTCAAATATCAATAGCAACATGCATTATAAAAAAGTAAAAAATATTTAAACGATGCCTTTATGGATAATGTATAGCCTTGTGCAAATCCCCATATATAAACTGGGAAACACATGAATTTATTGATGCAACAACACAATCTAGTTTCAACCAATTAAAGCCACCTTCGCTGCGCTCGGCAACCAGATGAAAAATTTAAATCATTTTATCCAATGATTTGTCCGGAAAAGCGTGACAGGCACGACAATTTAGTGTGACGGACAGACAGGTTGCTGCAGTAGATGTTTAAGATGGAATCACCAACTACGTGCATCTTCGACTTGATCCAATCACTTAGTGACAGTACTCGCCAATTTCCCAACTTGGGTTGATCGGATCTACCAACAGATTGGATGCGCTGAATGCAATGCTCACCACAAATTTCTTCAATAGACTTGATTATCGCTGGTTCATCAAAAGCAGGTTCAGCAACTACAGTTCAGCAATCACTGGTTCATCAACTGCTGGCTGATGCTTCGCGTGGTATCGGCACCAATCGCCTTTTGAGCCGCACTGCTGACTCCCCTTTGGATGGTTTTCAGAAAAAAATGTACTTACACATTATATATTTATTTTTTATCGCTCAAGATGAACTCACTATTATTTAGTTTCAATATATTGAGGAAAATATTTGTCAGAAATAAAAGTATTATTTTGGAGTGATGTGATTGGCTAAGACTGTGCGGTGTGTCGCATGAATGTGTGCTGCTTTTCAGTCGAGAACTGTCTAAGAGTCTTAGATAGTAAGAGTCGAGAACTGTCTAAGAGTCTTAGATAGTAAGAGTCGAGAACTGTCTAAGAGTCTTAGACAGAAAGAGTCTTAGACAGAAAGAGTCTTAGACAGTTCTCGACTGAAAAGCACTAAGAGAAAGCACGGAGCATGACAGAGGAGACGGAAGTGAAGCTGCGCTGCGGTGTGTACGGCGAAGGGAGCGTCTTCTTCATCGAGATCAAGCGCAATGCTGATGTAGATGCGCTACAGAAGGCTATATTCGCGAAGATACGATACAGCGAGTGTTATAAGCTTGCCGCAAGCGACTTGACGCTCTACTTGGCGCGAAAGGAAGGGGAAACCGTTTGGTTGGAGGACTACCGCCATGTGAAGGATATTTTGCAAGGTGGCATCTGCACTGGTTATGACAAGATGCGTCCGTCGTGGAAGCTCAACAAAACGGAGTTGTTTGGGCCGAGCTTCACGCCGGGAGATGAAGAGATTCACGTGCTGGTGGAACTCCCGACCAAGAAGACACGCGAATGGAGCGCAGAGGAGTTGTCTACTGTGGATCCTCAAGTTCAAAGGAAGGTTTGGAAGTCAGCTGTCAGGGTTTCTTCAGACGACGTGTGCTCAGGATCCGCATTGGTTGTTGATCGAACGGCAACGCACGTGTATCTGCTGACGAACTTGCACTTGTGGGTGGATAAAGCATTCACCGATGATCTAAGTGCTGATTTCAACAAAGAAATCAAGCAATATCTAAGACTACACCCCGGGATGGAATCAAGCGGAACGAAGAGGAAGGCTGTTGCTGATGCCAGTGAACTAAGTCGCAAATTTTCACGCACGTCACAAAGGAAAGCACCATTTCTGTCGGACAAGCCACAAGTTGTGATTGAGCAGTATTTTCCAGACAGTCGTACGCTGGAGAAAGTCCTCAGGTTTAGCCTCGACAGTGGTGTTTGTTGGAGTAGTTCTGCTGCCTTCGACTTCGCAATCTTTAAGGTCGCGGCACCACAAGACGTTCAGCTCACTCCGTGTAAGATGTCCACGAAGGTGTATCCAACCATGGACGTCCACGTGTTTGGTTTCCCAGGTGCTCTGCCAGACCATCAAGTTCACCGCTACGCAATCATCCCAGCTACAGTAACTGGATGGAACCAGAATCAAATGACGCTTTCGTCTTTGCCAGCTCCAGGCCTCTCAGGAAGTGCTATTGTGTGCACCAAAAGGGGAGTTCTCGTTGGATACATCGGTGGTGGTTTCGACGGCTCGACGAAGAACGAGCGGTATCAATCGTATGGATTCACACTCCGAGGTATCCCACCCGATCTGCCGTCTAGATTGCCACCAGCTGACGAAGATGAAACAAAGGAGTAGCTCCTACACATACAGCGTTGACTGCGTATATTTTGAGATCAGCGTTAGGTGGTTGGTTGCTTTCAACCAAAATGCAAGCGATTCGTCTCGTTGTGCACATGCATCACGTTATAGCTCCACTGGAACGCGGTAGAATCACTTGAAACTTGGACAGCAGACAGATCTAATGGCAATACAACTTTTCTGCTAGTCTCACTCCTTCAGAATCAAAAGACGTTTTGAGAAAGACAAAGCAATCAGAAACAAAGAGAGAATTAGGAATAATAAAAATGAATGGTATCAGAAAAATAAACGAATTATGGACAGAGGCAAACTGAAATATACATGTGAATGCGGTGGTTCTTATTCACAGATGTCTAAGAAGAGCCACGGACGCACAAAGAAACACCAAAAGTATTTGGCTGACAGCGCTTAATAAACCAACAAACAATTTTTTCAGTATTTGACAATGGCAAAAAATAGCTCACTTCAAAGACTGGTTCATATTCGCCATCACTAGACTCAAGGTCTTCGCTCGAATGTTAGCATCAGACTTCAACTTATCAGTGTCGAATGTAAATGGCTTCACGTTGATTGGTGTGATTGTTGGAGTGTAAACTTTATAATAATTATGGCTCCTCATCAGCTGTATCAACTTATTGAATTTCCTTTTTCTAGGCACAGTCGTGCACCTCGTTTTCGGCCTCGGTATGGCTTATTAATAAAACCTGCACAATCTAATGATTGCGCCACATGCATTGCGCAAATGAGTTGCCCATCTCCTTTGGACCAAATTACCTCAATGGTATTCCCCTCCTTGAGAGGGATGAAACGCCGCACTTCCGCCACGATGTATCAGCTCCATCACTCCACCCAAATAACATCTCATAATTAATTTTGTCCCAAAAAGCCATGGCCACGTCGCTCGCTCCGCCTATTCTCAGTCTGAAATTCGCCCCAGAGACACACATATGTGTCAGGAGAGCAGCCACAGAGCCATCATGGATGCTGTCTTAGCTCACTCAGTGAGCCACACAAGAGTTTCAAACCCACGTAAAGCGCTCCACCCTCCAAGGCATTCTAAAGCGCAAGAGGGACTACGAAGACGTCCTAAATGCTCACTCTCTCCGCAAAAGGGATTATTAAAAGTCTCAAGGACCACTACCGTGCTAAAAAGCAGGAGTGTGCTTGCCTTCAACCCAGCGTCGAAAGATATTTTCATGTCCTTGCCAGCGCCATGATAACTTGTTGATAGTAGAGCCGATACACTTTCTAAATGAATGATTCGGTAGACTCGGCCAATCATTTTATTTCTCAAATTGGATTTCCAAATTGTAAAGCTTCTTTATAATGATAAACATATTTATCAGAAATAAAAATAATTAAGCTGGGTGGGTGCTATCTCGTCACTTACCTGCTGCGCTTCCTCCATGCTTCTACCAATTTCAAAATAACCTCAGCTGAGATTTTATGCTGAGCTCCGAGGTTCCAAAGCCGCGTTCCGAACCGGTGCCAAAATGATGTCGTACTTACTAGAGCTGCTGTAGTGCTTCAATTCTATAGTGAATTGCAACTAATTGGCGAAATGTGGAAACTCTGGTTCCAAATTTTTCGGAACCAAATTTTAATAACTAGAACGGCTGTGGGTACATCGACATTTTCTGTTGGTGCTCAGGTTCTGAGCTCCCAAACGTTTATATAAATATACTATTTATAGATAGGGGGATAGGGTATATAAGAGAAGAGATAGAGAGCGTTTTTTGTGGAGCTTGGCAGCTTGGTCCCGCATGGTGTATAAAACCTACCATTATCATAATTGTAGGTGTTACGTCGGTTCGGTGACATGGAACCGGTTCATATCAGATATAGGAACCTCACGCACTACTGGATTAATAATTACAATCACTCTACAATGTAAGGGATGCGGTTTATGTTTCGGAGCTCCCAGAACAACTGGACTTAGATAACTACACTTGCTCTGGTGAAGCATTGTCTAAAGTGACGATTGGGGACATGTCCGAGAATTCACATAAGGATTTAGTAACTTCGCGCGTTCTTCCTCTTGGCGTACGCTAGTGGACGGAC